CCGTACCCACCTGTTCCCTCCTAACGGTCTCTAGCTCATCGGAGTTTGGTCGTCCAGCTCTTGCCTTCCCAACTTGATCGGTCAAGTCGGTCAGGTGTAGCGCGTGTGCGACCCCCTCGGCGACGCGACGTTCGGGCGTCAGGATCGCGAGGGGGTTGCGCGTCGCATGCTCCACGACGGTGTGCTTCGGAAGCCGCCTTTCCCGACGCGAAAAGTTCGCGACGAGGACGTCGAAGGTCTGATTTGGCAGTACCTCGACGACGCCGTTCGTCAGCCTTACTTCATGTCGGTGTTGAAGTGACGGCTTCGGCTCCATGAATACGAGGCCCCTCCCGGCGGTGGTGACGCGCACTCGGGCTTGCGACCTCGCGGGGATGGTGACCCAGCGGGCGATTCGGATCGCCTGCAGGGCCTCCTCTCGTACATCGGGCCGTCTCGTCTGGCGTCCGCTACGCCTTGTACGGGGAGTTGGCTCCCCTTTTCCGTCGACAATGGCAACAGAGCCGCCTTGGCGCAGCTCCATCCGTTGAGCCTCGATGTCGATGCATCGCACGTGCGTATCGATGAAGGCCGTGCCGAGAAGGAGCGGCACGGCGAGCTGGTCCGCGACTACGAACGGAATTCGGAACACCGTGTTCCTCAACCGCACAGCCAGGCGGACGACGGCCGAAAACTTGAGGGGGCTGCTATTCGCGCCTGCCAATCGTGGCAGGGGTGCGTCGTGCACGACGTAACGCGTCCAATCGGGGGGAAGGTCGGCCTTCCTCACCAGATTATACCCCGAGCACGTATTAACGGCGATCGTGCGGGGTTTAAATGCATTTCCTTCTGTGGCTATCGAGCCGAGGACGTTGTAAATCTTCGACGTCATAAGGCAAATGACGCCGTCGACAACCTTCGGGGCGGCCTTATCGGTGAGTTCGTTCCGCCGGGGCCTTCGATTTCGGGGCTGGCCCCGCTTGCGTTTCCTTCTCACCCTTTCTTGAGGCGTCCGCCGATCAGTGACGCCCCTCGGATTACTCGAGTCCGTACGACACGGACTTTTCTCCGGCGACCTTGGGCTCGCGGGAGTCAGGGGGTCGACCGAACCTTTTCGGTCGTCGTTGCCCCTGGCGCCATCGTTACGCCTCACCGGGACGTCGGCTGTCCCGGTGTCTTGTTCCCCTAACGTCGGGCCTTCGGAGGCCTCGACGTGCGCTCCCTCCTGTATCGGCATTACAGGGGTTCCCGTGCTCGCCTCAGGTAGCGGGGGATGTATTATCGAACAATACCCCCCGTGTCCTTGGCGAGCACGCGGGGTCGGGTCTAGTTCGTGGGGAAAAGACGGCCCACGCGACCGCGTGTACGTAACCGTCTTTACCCTTTTTTCCAACTACCCGTGCTATCGGAGCTAACCTCCTGGCTATCGACGGCTAGGTCCTCTTCGGGTAGCCGGCCGCGTGGGTCGGGACGATTCCCCCACTGCGGCTCGGCGGCCGTGGCGAAGTATTCGGGTACTTCCGGGCCTTGACCTGCAGCGTCCGGTCGTCGCAGGATATGGGGGACGAAGCGAGTCGGCTCGCCTTCGTGACCCTCCGTGGGTAGAGGGTACGGATCTTCTACCCAGTCTTGCAGGTACATTATCGCATTTTGTACCTGTTGGGGTAACCGAGAGCGGTCTCGGTCCTCTCTCTCTCCTTGGCGCGGGTACCTTGTGTACGCCTGCCGGTAGGCGGGTCGATCCCGACGATCGACGTCGTTACGACGGTACCCGCCTCCACGGGGGGCGAAGCGTGCGCCCCCACCCGATCGGTTCGGGCAAACCGTGACGCGGGAGACGGCCCTCCCCCGCCGCCTGCCGGAGGAGATTACGCGCACCCGGGCGCGTCTCCATCTGGTAGCGTTAGTTCCTGTACGCCGTGAACATTCGTTGTTCCGGCGACAGGAACGGGCACGTGTACATGGCATGCCCGTACGTACGGCATAGCCAGCACACGTACGCGCTGCCGTCCGTTGAGGCGAAGGTCGCCGCGTGCCGCGCCTCCTCATCGGTGAGGAGGGGCACGCGAGGCGCTTCGCCTCCTCCACCTCGGTTCGAGATGTCGAGCTCTGCGACCCGGGGGTCCGTACCCCTTGCCACTCTTGGAGTGGCCACGAACGCGGTCGCGTAACTCGATGTCGTTCCGGTCGACATCGGTGAGGAGGTTCGTGCCCCCACGGGCCCTGCTCCTTGCGTAATGAAGACAGGGTCGGCCTGCCACTCATCCTCCCCGATATGGAGGGTCGAGGCGGGCGAACTTGTCGCGGCGGACTTCGTAGTCCTGCCAGCCTTCCCTGCCGGTTTCGAATCCGGCAGAGGTAGACCGCGCCGAGCGCGGTACGTTGTACCTTCCGCCGTGGCGATACGGCGGATGGTCGGAAGATCGGTCTTCTGACTGCCTGGCAGCCTTTGCACAGTTTCGGATACTGCGGCACGGGTTGCCGGTGCAAGTCCCCGCACGAAGTAGTGAGCGAGGGACTGTTCGGAGAAGACTGCCGTGCATCGGAACGCGGCAGTCTCGAGTCGGTCAGCAAACGTGCTTTCCGTCTCATGTGATTGCTGTCGCGCCGTAGCGACAGCGTCGTACGCTTCACCTAACACGTCGTCCGTGAGGTAGCGTTTTAAGAATTGATTCACGAGCCCCGGCCAGCTCACGTCGTCATGGAGCTGGCCGGCGCGGAGGCCACGCATCGTATAACTCGTATACAGGCGCTCCGCGTCGCGCTCGAGGAAGTGCGCGTGGACTCGTACCGCAACACCTTCGGTCAGGTGTTGCGAGTTGAAGGTGATTCGGATATCCTGCAAAAACGGCAGCAGCTGGATCGGGTCGGTACCGTCGAAGCTGCGCATCGTGGGACGGATCCCACGACAGCGTTGGACGTACTTCGCGATCCGTCCGGCGTCACTGGAGGTAACGAGCCTCGAGGTGTTATCCAAGCGGTACATACGATAGTCAGCAACGGCGCTGAACTCTTGGATCATCGTATGTACCGGCTCGAGCCCGGGTTCAGCGGGACCCAGCGTGCCGAAGGAGGTAACCGGTAGCGTACAGACGACTACCAGACCTGGATGCTCGGCGTAGCTCGCCCGAGGGTAGCCGCCCCAGCGGGGATCGACGGAGAACATCGGTTCTTCGGATCTGTGGGCGGCTCCCCCACGGTCCTGTTCGTCCGCGTACGATACGCGGTCCACTTGCCGCCTACTTCCGGCGATAGGCGGCAAGGCTTGGGTCTCAGACGCGAAGTTTGCGTCTATTGGAGGACGGCTTCCTTCTGCAGTCCGACTGGTAGCGGCACCAGTCGGACGCCAACCTTCGGGGGCGGCGGCGCTCGGAGGTACGGTACCACCGGGCCCTCTCGAGGGGGCACTGGGTAGCCTTTCGGCCATGGTACGTTCCATGTCACGAGCACGCCGACGAGTGGCGTCGAGCTCAGCAGAGAGGTGCGCGAACGCACCCAATTGCTCTGCGGACGGAGAGGTTCGGTCCTCGGGTCGTCTCACCGAGGTCGGCCTCTCAGGACGACCTTGCCCGGACGGTCCGGGCGAGGCGAAACGGGAGTCTTCGACGAGCACTATCCGCGAGTGTAACTCGTCGATCAGTGCTCAGAGATTCTCTAAGGACTGCGTCACTCTATCGAACCTCCCTTCACGCAGGGAGCGGAGTTCGGCCATACATCGAGTGTATACATGGTCCGATACATCGATCCGAAGGGAAGTACGGACTTCCTCGATGTATTCGGCTATGCGTTCGAACATCGCCGCCGCTCTTTCCTCGGAGGATCGGAGCGACGGTTCCCGGTCACGAGGACCTGCGTCGCCGTCGCCCGACGGGGCGGATGGGGACTGCACAGCGGCCGGACTCAGATCCGCCGTTTCGGAGCGGATCGAGGGCTCAAACTCTTGGCTCATCTCAACGCGATCGGTTCGCGGAGGGAAGCGGAAGTCTTCTCGGAGATCGGACTCCAGGGTCTTCTAGGTCGGGAGACCACTGTAGCATAAACACCCCCAGCGATAGGGGTGTATGCACAGTTCGACCGAGACCCCGTCCGATCGGGAAGACGGGGGTGAAGCAGGACACCAGCTAACGGCACCGGGCAGCGGGCCTGGGTAGCGTGGTAGAGCGGGAACGGGGAGGACGCCGGTACGCGCGAGCGGTTCGACGCCTCGACGCCCCGGCGCGGTACTGGGTAACGATCCAGTACCGACGAGCGGAGGCGGAGCCGGCTCGTGGGCGTACCGCACGCGTCCTCAACCCGCGCTCGGTGCCGCTCTAAGGTAGTTAGCGAGCGCTACCTTAGAATAAGCGGGAAGTCGGACCTTGACGGTCGGTGGGTGACAAGTCCGTGCTTGTCCTCTTCCCCCCACCGCCGGTCCGCTCCATATTTAATGTACATAATAACCTATCATAGTAGTACAGTACCGATGTACTGTAGCGGTCGGTCGACACTGTAATACTGTCAGCCATCGGGGCTGACAGTACACGTGTGTGCGCGCTCTTTGGTCCCGCGCGTACACGTGTACACGTGCGCCCCCTGTACTCGGGGGTACACGTGGTAGTACTGTAGGGCATCGAGCCCTACAGTAACCGATCCGATTCTGAGTTGATCTAATCTAAAATAAAGCCCCCAGGGGGGGGTTATACTACAGCTTTCTTATCTCCGCCACAACCAGACACAACTTCGAGCCGCCGACTACACCTCACTGCGCGACAGCCTATGAGACTCCTGTCGTGCTGAAGATGAAGCCGACGCCGTGCGTGCGGGACGACTGTTCATTCTCCCTTCCACGTACATTGGAGGTGACCGCTATATGAGGCAGCAGATGCACGACATCATTGCTATATCGAACCAAATTGGCCACCGGGACATCTTCCTCACCATGACATGCAATCCAAGCTAGCCGGAGATCAAAAAGAGCCCTACTGCCGAACCAAACGCCTCAGGCCAGACCGGATCTGTGCGCACGTGTGTTTCGTCTCAAAATGAAAGATCTCATGTCCTTGGTCATCAAAGAGGAAGTATTCAGAACCGTTGTTGCCCATGTACGAGTCATCGAGTTTCAGAAACGCGGTCTTCCCCACGCTCGCGTTGCATTTTTCCTAGATGAAGTCTCCAAGAATGATCTGCGTACTCCCGAAAACGTCGACCGCATTATCTCTGCCGAGATCCCGTCTTCCCAAGATCCAGAACTCCAAGAGGTCGTGCTCAAGCATATGATTCACAATCCATGTGGAGAACACAATCCAACAGCCGTGTGCATGGGCGAGCGGTACTGCAGGAAAGGGTTTCCAAAATCGTTCAAACACGAAACCAGCCAGTCCGACAGTGAGTACTACATCACGTACCGAAGAAGGGCACCGTCTGCAGGTGGCGTCTCCATCGAGCGACCCTCCCGTATTGGCCTACGACAGCAACCCGTCGTGGTCGACAGCTCCTGGGTCGTTCCCCACAGTCCTGTGCTTCTACGATCATTCGCTTGCCATTTGAATGTGGAACTCTGCGTGTCACGCGTTGGCGGAATCAAGTACCTCTTCAAGTATGTGTGCAAGGGGCAAGACCGAGTGACCATGGAAATTACTGCCGAGAACGAGCGCTACGACGACATCTCCAACTTCCAAGATGCCAGATACGTTTCCGCATTGAAGGCCACATGGAAGTTATTCTCCTTTGAAATTGTAGACAGCAATCCTCCAGTAGTCAGGCTTGCAGTGCATCTGCCCAACCACCATACGGTGTACTTTGAGGAAGGGCGAGAGCAGGAGGCGGCGCTTCGACCAGCAACAGGCACGAAGCTGACCGAGTGGTTTAAAGCCAATGAGAAGTACCCAAGCGCGAGGCATATTCGGTACCACAAGTTTCCAAGGTACTTTACGTGGAAGACACGCACCAAGTCATGGAGTCCAAGAGCAACCCTGCGAAGACGGAACGCCAGCAGCGAAAAGGAAGCCTACGATTTCAGTGGTACAGGTGCCAACGTAGTCGGTCGAATCTACACTGTCAGTCCGAGGGAGGGTGAGCACTACTTTCTTCGCCTCCTCCTCACACAAGTGCCAGGGGCAACTCTCTTCGAGAACTTGCGAAATATCGACAGCGAGCAGGGCACCAGCTTCCGACAAGCTTGCTTACGACTCGGATTGCTGGCCGACGATGCCGAGTGGAAGCACGCAATCCGAGATTCATTCCGGTCAAGCTTCGTTCCTCTTTCTCATCTGTTTGCTACGATTCTGGCACACTGCCAGCCTTCGGATCCTCTCTCGCTGTGGAACGACCACCTGGACATGTTTTTCACCGATATTCGCAATCGTGCACGAGGACAACCCATTCGAAGACAGCAGATTCGCGATGATCACCACGCCACATCTTACGTGCTTGGAGAGGTACAGGAGGCCCTGCAGACCGTGCGTTCCGATTGGACGCTCGCAAATTTCGGACTCCCACTGCCCGATGACAGCCTGCCCGCTTTGGAACAGCAAGACGAGATCGAGACCACCGAAGCACGAGCGCAGCAGTGGGAAGAGCGACTACAGACGTCGTTGCCGTTGTTGAACACAAATCAACGCCATTCCTTTGACTAAATAGTGGGCTCCATGCTTGCAGGCATATCCGTCTCTGCATTGCTTCAAGGGTCCTCAAGCGCCGTTGCGGGACCTTCTGTGCCGACACGAAGTGGCCGTCTCTTCTTCCTCGATGCTCCTGGCCGAACAGGCAAACATTCGTGCTCAGCGCCATTCAGGACTTCCTTCGTACGCGTCGTAAGCAAGTCATCGCTGTCGCTACGTCTGCTGTTGCCGCTGTGTTGCTCGACGGTGGACGCACCGCTCATTCCGTGTTCAAGATTCCCATTCCTGTATCTGCCGAAAGCACGTGCAGCTTCTCCGCAAACTCCGACACTGGCCGTGCACTGCAACAAGTCGATCTTATCATATGGGACGAGATCGTCATGTGCCATTGACATTGCATTGAGACTGTCGATCGCTCCCTTCGCGACTTGATGCAAACCGACCGGCCCTTCAGAGGAAAGTTCCTCGTGTTCGCTGGAGACTTTAGACAATCCTTCCCGTCGTTCCGGGCGGGTCCAGAGGTCAAATCGTGAGCGCGTGCGTCAAGGCTTCCCCGCTGTATCGAGAGTGCCGATTCCTGCGCCTTACCGAGAACATGCGCCTTCCTGCTCTCCGAGCGGACCCTGCAGCAGATGTGGAGGCTCTCAACTTTCCAGAGTTCCTCCTCAGCGTCGGGGAAGGCAGACTTCAAGGCGAACAGCGCCCGGAATGGATCTCACTACCACACTCCGTTGCGTTCGAGCACACCATCCGCAATTTATGCGTCAAGGTCTTCCAAGGGATTTGAGACAATCACGTCGGCCCTGCCTGGCTCACCAAGCGCGTTATACTCACCACAAAGAACAGGCCGCTCGAGGAAGTCAACGAGGTCATCGGCAACATGATTCCGGGACCGTATCGAACGTATTTAAGAGCAGACACGGTCGAGAACGAAGACACCAACGCGCTGATCTATCCCACAAAAAATGCTCAACACCTTGACCGCCGGGACTGCTCTACCAGACCACAACCTCAAGCTCAAGAAAGGCTTCATCGTCATGCTTCTGAGCAATCTCGATCCCGCTACCGGTCACGTCAACGGCGCGCGATATGTCATCGAGAACATGACCAACAACCTGCTCTTTCTACGCGTTACCACCGGGTCACACCAAGGCAACAGACTGTGTCTCCCTCGAATGCCCTGCGGACCAGGAGACGACAACTTTCCCATCCCTGGCTTCACCCGAACGCAGTTCCCCATTCGCACGGGCTTCGCCGTTACAACGAACAAAGCGCAAAGCCAATCCTTCGGTGGCCGCATTGGTCTCGACTTACGAGATCACTGCTTCTCGCACGGTCAACTCTACGTCGCACTATGAAGGACTATTCACCCAGGCAACGTCACTGTCCTCACTCGAGAGTCCAATGAAACAACGCGAAACGTAGTGTACCCCGAGGTCCTTCAGTAGTTATCAAAAAAGTAAAGGCCAATGTCTTTACATCTTTTCAATGCCTTTACCTCTTTTCATTGCCACCCTTCCCAAATAGTGTTCCTCCACACTGACTTGGCTCGGCGCGCGAAGCGCGCACGGAGCCCACTTGTCCTCTTCACAAAAATCTCACAATTCCCCATTTTTTGTCATGGCATGATTGCAGAATTCTGTATATGCAATTTCAGTGTAATGTTTTTTGCAGAATTGTTTGCAGAATTCTGTAGAATCCGATTTGCGTAAGCTCACTAGTGTCAGGGATTCTGCCACTATGACTGATGATGTGGCAGAATCACTGTGATTCTGCCACTATGACTGGGGTGTGGTACCGGTATGTATGGAACACCATAAAGGGGGGTGCCCCTAAAATGGAACGATTTTGAATATTTAAAATAGAAATACCAAGGAATGATCGGTTTTGATTCAATCAAAAGCTTTCAAAACGCCGAAACTACTGTGCATTTATCTACAAGTGGAATCGCGTCCTGTTTTCTCAACGTGGCGCATTTATTGAATCGCAACACGTACGATTACAGCCTCAAGAATGAGGCAAATCGGTCGTGATGTGGAACAAATTTAGGAACAGCAATGCACAAAACATTTACTTCAAATATCTATCAGAGCATGAATCTGTAGCTGACCATGCCGCTGGTCAGTTGCACCTCAGGGACGCAAGCGCAGACGCAGCATCCCTTCTATCAGCTGCTTTCTTCGCAGCAAGAGCACGACGTATGCGCAAAGGTCGAGGCACGACAAACGGTTCGCCGTAAAGTGAGGCGCGACGGCATGCGTTAGCAAGTTCGGGATCATGCCGAGCTTGCTTTCGCATAGCCGCTTCAAACGCTCTCTTCGCGTTCGCTTCCGCCTTCTTCCGCTGCGTATCCTCAAACTTAACGCGCTTCTCGCGCTCCTCTCCCTCAAACATCCGCATGGCGGCGTCACTTGTCAACGTCAGACCTTTTGAGGTGTCCAAAAACCCTCTCTTCCACACCACTGGTTGTATACCGATATAGTTCCGGCAGGCAATACGCTTCTGTTCTAGTAAATGTAGCATTTCGTCTACAGAAAGCATTTTCCCTTTGCAGCGTCCATCCGGTTTTGGGGAGTACAGTAGTTTAGCAAGATTGATGGGCCACAATCCAGCTCTCTCAAACCCAGCAGTAATATTTGCGGGCGTGAAAGAATTTTCGTAAGCGTGGCGCAGGATATTGCAAAAATCGAATACATCATAGGGCTCTGTTTGTTGGACGAGAGATATCTGCTTGATGCAGGCGGCAATATTATGCTTGAATGGAGCAAAAACTGTCAGATCTAGTGGCTGTGTCTTCCCACTCGTGTGTGAAGGTAGACAATAGGCAACCACATTCCCATTTCGTAAAATCGTCAAAGCTTTAAGGCTCATGTGGCTGCGGTAACCGTCATACAAGAGCAAAACTTTTCGTCCTTGCCTGGTAAGGTGAGAAATGTTTTGCACGAACATCTCTGCCCACCGCGCGAAATTAGATTTATCTACGTCTGCCAATTCTTCTCTTGTAGTGACCAACGCGTTCGGGGGAAGGCAATCTGCGACTGACTGCTTGAGAAGTCCTTCATTACTCTCAATCACTCCATGCAGAATCCTGGTACCTTTAAAAATAAACAATGGTCTTCTGGTTACCCCAGATGCGAAAATGACGGGCATGATCGTTACTCTTGAAACGTTCTTGAACGTTGGAATGCGAACCTCGTGCATGCTTTCTCTAGGGGAAAACGTTCGAAACGAGGTAATGCCCAGTGCCTCTTTGTCGGCGGTGGCTCCAGTCTCGTCCAGGTTTGCTAAGCGACAAGGGTCTATATTGTGGTTTTTAATGAGCTGCTCCACCGCTGCAATGTGCGCTGTCAGCGTTTCTGCATTGATAGCATTGAACCGGATGCCTTCTTGCCGCAGGGCGCGTGCAAACGCGATGGGTTTGTGGTGACGTTTTTTGAATGACCTCACAAACTTTTCTCCAGGTCGGTTGTGTTTGACGGGGAGTTTTTGTTGACGCTCCGGGTCCATGTTACCGACGAGAATTTCAACTGCATCTTTAATAGTGTGGTGGCCCACCGGGTAGCCATGGCTTGCGTACGTCTTAATCAATTCAATTATTGTGTCTTCCTCTTCAGCGGTGAGGGTCCCACGATGATGCAGGGCTGCTCGTCGGGGTTGTCGTCAATTTTCTTGTAACGACGATGAAATGTGGATAAAGGTAGCTTAGCCATTCGCGCCGCACTGCGCATTGTAGCACCTTCTTTCACGGCGTCGACGGCCATGTTGAAATGAGCACGAGCCCGCACAAAATTGCGACGTATTCTCCGTTTCGAAATCGCCATGCTTCGAAGAGTCTTGAGAGGCTCTGGTTGCTGTGCCAACAGATACGGTCGCAGCCGAGTGAGAATCGCAGGGAAGATATACTGTATTCTACGGTGTCATCACGAAATGGCGCCTTTTTTTGGGTGTGGCGGGGACTGAGGATGGTGGTGTTTCGGTATGCATTTACGTCGCGGGGAAATGGGACTGTAATACCTGACTTTGCTTGCGTTTGGTGGGCACTTGGGCTGTTGTTCCTAATTATTGAATACTTTTCGTGGGTTTCTCATCGTTCCGCAGTTAGGAAGGGTGTTCCACTTAAGGGGCACCCCCCCTTTACATTGACAGGGAATGTGATTGAATCACATTCCCTGTCAATTCCATACAGCGTGTGACCAATCACATTCTCATGCTGCACAAGATCTCGCAAATTCCATCAACAACCCACGTCCAATTCACTGAGTCCACCGACATAAACATGCAATCCTCTGAAAAGGCGCACTATGCCTCCCACCTTTCACCTACGCTCCTCTGCCTCCCCCACCCATCTCGCTGCAATTCGCCCCGCAGTCGAAACCCTGCATCGACTGACACAACGCTCTGCCCAACATGAGCGAATCCCAAACTACCAAGCAACAAACAACCTCGTTGTTAGAGAACCTTTCATGTTCATCATTTCTGCGAACGGTGTGTTGTTCAAAAGACCGCTCGACCAAGTATGGATCCGACGTTCTCAAGGCTGCGCGATGTTATGAAGTAGCCACATGCAACGCTGATTCCAATTTCATCCTTCTTCTTGCACAGATTCTCCGGGATGGCCCTGAAGGGCTTGACCACAATATCCAAGATTCTATCAAATTACACAACCATGCCATCCACCTTGGCAACTCGGAGGCTATGGTACTCATGGGCATTTTCTATTTTCTTGGTGCAGATGGGATACCGGCGAATGAGGCCACGGCATACCAGCTCTTTCTACAAGCAGCCCATCTCGAACACGTGGGAGCCATGTCCTGGTTGGGTGCATTTCTAGAAGTCCAGTCGACGAGAGAACCCTCAGACGTTCCGCAAGTTTGTAAAGTTGATGCGTCTGTTGCAGATTCCTCTCAACATACTTTTCTCTTTACTGCTGCAATATGGTACCGAAAGGCTGCAGATAAAGGCCATTCCCGCTCCATGCTTAAGCTTGGACGCTTGCTTGAAAAAGGCAGTGAAAGAATTGAGCGCAATGTACCAGAAGCCATCGCGCTTTTCGAAAGAGCTGCTGATTTAGGAAACTTACAAGCAACGATGAAAGCCGCGCAATTGTATTATCAGGGTTCAGAAGGGCTGCCTCGAGATCTCGCAAAAGCTTTCCCTCTCTTCTTAGCAGCGGCGGAAAGCGGTGAAACAGGCGCAATATGCTACTTGGGTGATTGTTTGGAATATGATGAAGAGTTCGCAGTAGTTGACGCATGCCAGCTGGCGGCCGATGCAGAAAATTCTTTCGCGAAATACATACTCGAAGTCATGCTTCAAAAAGGTGAGCGTGTCAAGAAGCTACATTCCATGGCTGCTGTGGGACTATTTCGAAAAGCAGCGGACCGTGGCCATGGCAGGGCGATGGGTAGGCTTGGTATATCGCTTTATTATGGCAATGGGACACAGAGAGATATTGCCAATGCCATTGAGTGGTTCGGTAAAGCGGAGCGCGCAGCGCCCTTTGATTTCCTGATCAAAGCAGCGTTGGCGAAAGCTTTACTTGCAGAGGAGTCTGGGTCCTTCAAAGATCCCATCCGAGCTATAAGGTTGTTAGAAGAGGCCGTGCAATTGTATCCAGACTACTGCTATGGCCTTCATCTTCTAGCGGTGCAATATTGTTTGCAGACTGAAGGTTTAACGACAAGCAAGAAGAGAATTGCAGAGTTGTTCTCTCAAGCATCCAGTTCATCTCATACGGTAAGACGTGATCGCTTCCCGCTGACTGCGACGGTCATCAAGGCTGGAGAGTATTATCCCGCCGTGGTCGAAAATGTGTTTCGCAAGAGTTTTGTAAAGCCAAGGATGTGCCTGTTACTTGTTCTAGGCGGGGCTGCGCGCGGTAAAACGTCTACCGTAAGAAGCCTTCGAGGGTTGCCTTTCGTGAAGGCTCATGTTGCAACCGAAATGGCTGCTTTGAACAAGTTTATCGTTGAACCTGGTATCCGCGGATTGCCAGAGGAGGTGCTAAATGAGTATGACTTCAACGAAAATTCTCTTCGTGCGAACGTGTCTCGGCTCGAAACACCTTCTACATCGGCATTTAATATGCAAACGGCGAATGGGATAACGGAAGATCTTTTTGAAGCAGTCTCAGATGCGTTCGCTCCGCGGCAGCCTTGCCCAAATCAAAGCATTTTCGAGACTAAAGATAGAAAACATGCTGATGTCATTGAGTTAATGAGAGATTCACTCACATTGCCTGACTTTCCATCTGGATTCCGAAAAAGTGTTGCACAGGTTTGGGATATGGGGGGGCAGTCGAAGTATGAGATGGCACACTCCCTGGTAATTGCCCGCGGAAGTATTCTCGTCTTCGTTACAGATTTGAAGAGGGTAGCTGATGAAAGGACAAGAATAAGCGAGGTGGCGGTGCTTTGTTATTGGATGCAGTTGGCCCACTTTCTTGTATGTGATGAGGCTGAGGTGCGAGTGATCATTGTGGGGACACGAAAATCGCAATGTGACGAAGTCGCAACACTGCGAATATTGAAGAAAAGCCTTGGAACGCAACTTTCTCCGAAGGTGTACAATTCGTGGATCAGGACGAGAAAAGGGTGTCGTGAGGATTTTTCAAAGTTTATTGTGATTGAGAACAGTAGGACACTGCAGGGTCCTAAAGAAAGTGGACTAGAGGAGCTGGAGCGTTCTGTGGCAGTTTTGGCAGACGAAATAGTTGCTAGAAGAGGTAATGTTCCGGTGCGGTGGCTTGCATTAGTGGACAAACTTGAACGAGAAAATGCAAGACTCGGATACTTACTGTTTCAGAGGGATTTCGTTCTACAGGTGAGCGTAGAATTCCCAGGATTTGCGAAGGATAATGAGGAAAGAGAGAATGATGTGGTGTGCGCTCTGCGGTGTTTTGCTTCGATGGGAAGACTGACGTTTTTGAAGCTGGACGAGACGGAGTGGTACGTTTTCGTGGATGTTGGAAGGATCGCCGGTTTACTGGGGAAGCTAACAATGCCAGAAGACCGACTGCAAGATCAGTTGAGCTCTGAAGATATCGAGAGTCTAGCTGAAGGGCAGATATCTCAGAGCGGATTGTTTTGCCTGTGGAATGCACATTCTGAAGAAGAAAATCAACTCATGCTGAAAATCCTGTGTCGTTTTGATTTGCTGGTATTATTGAAGGGGACGGAAGAGTCTATTTGGGAAGGGAACGCCATGATTGGTATACCAGCTTTGATGAGAAGTGGATGGGATGATTTCAAATGGGGCAGTACGCCCGGCGAGAAGGACCTAGAGGTGGTAACAGAATTCGAAGAAGCAATTCCAAACAGTCTTCTTGGCTTCCTTATTGCTCACGTTTATCACATGCAGGCAGCAGGGAGAGACCCCTATAGTCGCATCGGGGGTGAGGCGTGCAAGTTTCGAGCAGATGCTCTTCTGATACGGTTGCGAGATGGGAGCAGGGCGTTCATGTGTCTGAACGGGAATGAGCGCAAAATTGTGTGGAAATTCCGAGGAATGAATCCAGAGCGTTTAGCGGCGGACTTCATAGGCAGCCTAGATGGGGGCACGGACAACTCTTCAAGGATAATGAACGTCAATCATAGGCACGTTATTTTTTTAGATTGTAGTGTTTCGCGGGAGGGTTGCGGTGCATTCCGGAGTGTTGAAATCGAGCTGTCACGAGAATGGCTTTTGGAAAGAAACGGAAAGAGGGGTGTTTTTGACTCTGAGCTGCTGAAACGACTGGCACAAATAATGGGAAGATATCAAGAGTCCCTACCGGTAGAAGGCCTATGCTGCCGATCCTGCTTTAGACCGTGGACGATCTCAGATGTGGAGCATTCTTTGGGGCTGACCCAGACTTGCCATCCAGGAGGGGTCAGTCCCCTGCAAAGGGTAATGCCTCCGAACCATTACGACGTGTTCATTAGCCATGCCGGCCCGGACAAAATGGCCATGGCAAACCCCCTTTACCAAAGTTTGACACGACACAATGTGAATGTCTTTTTGGATTTCGAAGGATTACAGATTCTAGACAGCACCGCGTCCGAAGAAATGAACCGGGCAATGAATGAAGCTCGCATTGGTGTATTCATCCTTTCGCCAGAGTTTGCAGCGCGGGAATGGACGATGCGGGAACTTCGATGCTTTCTCGATCGGGACGAAACGTGCAGGCTCGAAAAGCGCAGTAGACCGGTACTACTGCCAATCTTTCATCGACTGAGTCTGACTGAGTGTTCAAGGTGCGATGAGCTTGTCTACAATGAGAACAGCGAGCACTATGAACTTTTGCAGGCGGAACGCTTTTATGAACAGTCTCGGCAGGACATTTGCACAACGGAGGGTGCAATCGCAGCTCTGAAAGGGTTGAGGAGACATGCAGGAGTAGTAAAGCAGAGGTTGGGAGGCGGAGACTATCTATCCAGCGCTGAGCTCGTGGAAACCGCAGCAGAAAGGATCTTGGGATACACTCTGAAATACAGAGGCCTGGCTGAGGATATGAAATTGGGATGTGCACAGCACGAGTGAATTGTGACACGCAAAAGCAGGCTGTAACTGTAACTGTGAGGATAAGCTGCCTCCATGAAAGAGCGATAAGAAAAACATGTTTTGGGTTTTCGGGTGTGCAGAATCTGGTGGGAGAGTGCCTGGAAGTGAAAGTCATAGATAGTTTGAGGTAGTGTCGTAAGAATGCAAAAGGTCCCTGCTGTGCCTTGCACGCTGGGTCCCGTTTCATGATCGAGTTGGTACATAACTTGGTGTGCACAAGCTTTAGGAACAGTTTGATGAACCGAGTAATTAGATTTTCAATCACGTTGTACAGTTTCAGATCCCTTCAGACAATAAAACACCATCCTGCTTTACCACCACACGGTCCTCGCCTCTAGTTCTCTCGCTCTCATTAATGCCTCGTCTTCATTGTCAACTTTCTCATGCTGGCCTACTCACGCACATGGCAGTATGCATGTGGAAAGTGTAAGAAGGTTTTTGTCAGCATGATGTAGTAGAGCGCTTTACGCCAATTCCGCAGATAACAGAAACCCGAGAGCTACTTCCACAGGTCTCCCCCTAAAAGGGTGGGAGAGGGAAGAGGGTGAAATCGGATGCACTACCGAAGCGCATCAAGGGGCTAGTCGTTTCCCCACCCGATCGAGAAGTCATCCCCAGTCGACGGTTTCGTTCCCCGGAAGGGCGCGCGCGTTAAGACGTGAAACGTTCAGACTTGGAGTCGTCGAGGAGCATCGCCAACAAATATCGGTCTTCATCCCTTTCTTTGCGTCCGCCGGACACGTCGTAACTCTGCGCAATTCTGTATATGTTTCTCCTCGTTTCGTTTCGAATAATCATCTGGACAGGTCAACCAGATCCAAATATTGACCTTTCGCTTCTTTACATCAGCAACTTTGCATGCTTCTGGCAGAACATCCGACACGCTGTCCCAGCAGCGTTCCGGTTCGAGCACACAAATATAACAGTCGGCTCAAAGCAGCAATTGTATCTGAAACCCGTCATCAATCTATCAATGGCATTGAGAGGCATTTACCAAACATTGAAGCTCATAGGGCGCATGGAAGAACATTGAAAAGATGGACCCTCCGGCTACAATACAGACATGATCATTATCCATGCGGCACTGCGGGAAGAATACAAACTCCCTTCTTTTCTGCATGAGAGCTAAATATGTATCTTTCTCATCCCTCTTAATCACTCTAAATGCCCATGCTGAGCATGCAACAGAAAACTTCTCCATGATTTAACATCTCTTCCAGAACTGCTGCTCGCAGGAATCGCTTGAAACGTTGAACACATTTCCACAGTCGTCACAATAGATTTTGATGTCACGAATGTCCAGTACCCGATGACTGCAGGCATCTTTGTACGTACACGCCATGACACAGGAGCTTGCGAAAAGAACGAGGAAAAGCACCACTAAGGACTGAGACCTCGTAGCCATGCCTGCTAGAAATTCTCAATGCCGAGTTAAGGGGATTTCAAGAAGGTACGAACTTCCTGCGGCTTCACATCATCGAATCTCCTTTGCACTTTATGTTAATGGGCATCAATCTAAATTTTCTGAGAGACCACTGTCACAGGGGAGAAAGCAGCAACTTGGATGACTTTCGCAGGTGGGTTTGCCTTCGCCTCACAAGACGGTACAACAACATCTATCAAATCTTATTGGTTCCGGAACTAAGCCCCCACATGCGTCGTTGCCGAAACACTTCCTCTCGAGATTTGCATGTGACCGAATCCATGCCAAAGCGCCACCTCCAGGCCTGATTTCATGTCGCAGGACACTTCGCGACGTTAAATGGGAACCTTGTGTTATGAAACACTCTTTCCAACTCAGTGCTCCCAAATACACTAGTCGCTCGCTTGTCTTGGAACAAGACTATTGCACAATGCGTGGTGTAAGAGCCGAGTCACCAACACTGCGCTCATACAGTACTGTAACACACTTTTCACTTATGCTTCATACAGCAACAACAGCAACATGCTTGGATACAAGGTGAAGTGAGATGACATAGACGGTGACACTGCAGTATAGAGAAGCGCCTCTTCTCCGGAGCAATCCAATCTTCTCATCCAAGCATAACTAACTAAATTGGCCACAAAACATTGCAAATACACTATTCTGAACTGACTGTTTGCATATCCAGATTTCTCAGAGAAGTTCCCACTGCGGCCGCGTTGCCTGTAAACTATTACGATTATATATATTACATGTATTCAATACGGACCTGAGGCACTCATCTTCACCTTTCTCCACCGATGTGATTCAATAACCACGACTCCACCTTTTTTCCGGTAGATTACAGTACGACTGTTACGTTCGGTCTAGAGCGTTTACCCGACTGGGGTCTTTCCTCACGTGAGACCAGCCCTTCTTTGCAAAAATATATACTTGATATTGCAAATCTAGAAAGTCATTTCCGACACCAACCACTGCTTTAGTCAATTATCATATCTCAAAGAACACCGGATTGCAGTTTGAATACGCCGAAAGACAAAGAATCTGGTTAGGTTTAAACTCTACGCGACCCGCTTTTTTAAACGAGCGTTCTGGTTTCGAAGTAATTTTGCAAAGCGTTTCAAGGTTGCAAAAAAGACTTCTTTTACAGGCATTTCTAAAACGGACCAGGAAGGACAAGTAGTTCCCACCAAAACCTTTCCTTCCGCAACGCAAAAATCAAGTACAGTGGCGAGGGTATCTTTCCGTTCTTATAGAAAGCAAAAGTCCAGAAAAAATTGGTTTAAAAGTAACGTCATATCTGAAGACGACGGTCCAATAGAAACTCAGATCTTGTGGCTACTTTTTGATATGCCATGGCATACTGTATGCAATGTGGTAAAAGGGGGGGCCTCCAGGCCAGGAGACATGCCGGGGGGGAGGTGTACAGTAACGTTGTCCGTAAAATAACGCGTTGTTTTTTTCCATTTGCCCACAAACTCGCTGGACGTAAAGTAAACCCGAGTTTGAAAAATCCCACGAGTTTTGCGGACTGACCTCCAGCAAGGTACCTGCCCGCAACAAACGCAAGTCTGGTACATCGTTGTGCCGTCCGACGGATCACGTGCACCTGGGCAAATACTCGCTGAAGCAAATATTGTAGCTCGCCACAAGGATAGAATAGGCCTCAGTCGAAAGGGCGATGTGTTTCGTCTTCTTGACGGGCTGAGGGGGGCCGTTTAGAGAGGACCGCTTTTTAGAAGCTTCTACTTGTCTGTCTTCTGCGATTGCTTTAGCGGCATATGTGGCAGATCTTGTGGTGCTTCGATCCGTTGATGGACTCTGGTTAGATGAAGTGATAGGGGCGTCCATGACGCAAACCGGTACGAACCGTGCAGTATGAGACTCGTTTGTGCTGATGAGAGAGCGGAAACCCCACTTCGTTTTCCTTCAAGACGGGTCGATCCGGCACTGCCGTACAGTAATCAGACGGATGCGAAAACTCGTGGAAAACTCACATGTCCGGAGTTTTCGGTATGCTGTGAGTTTTGCAAAACTCGTTGTCTGAAAATTTTGCAATCAGAAAATCCGAGCAAACTCGCGGCCAAAACACGTATTTTCGCGACTTTACGGACAACGTTAGTATATGTAGTAGCGATATCCAACATGCAAAGCGCGTCAGAAAGTGCTTCATAGTTAACTAGGTATTAATTCCTTTTCGGCGCCAGATCCCACTGAACCATGCAATTCGTCGACGATGGGCGCAACAGCTCATCTGTGTCGAGGAGATGTTTTCATCAGCGATCAACCACGACGCGACGATTCCTGCTCTGAACCTCGCAAAACGCTAAACTGACAAATCTCATGTATAATACAGAATTTCCGACTAGCTCATGAAAGCGAAACAACTCACCCTGCGATCAGGAAAGGACGAAACAAAAATGAGCAATGGGAACTATTATGTTCCACTATGACAACGCTTTCAAAATAAAGGTTGTATCTCAAGAAACCTTCACTCCGTTCTCTATCATTGGTTTTAATGAGCTGGATATATGATACTATTTTTCCTTCTCGGTTTTACAGACTCTTTCATTAATGAATACTTCAGAAGCAACTACACATGCATAGAAGAGACGGGAGAAGGCCGCAACCCAGGCAAATAGATCAGTTCAAAAGCAGTAATGGTCTTCCATGACACTCATCGTAAGAAGAATTATAGCATCTCCTCTTGCTGGTTGCGGTCTGTCATCGGGAGTTAGTTGCATCAACTGTACCGCCGGTCTAATGCCATCTCATACTCTTGAGAAGCAGTGTGGCTTCATTTGTACTTGAGGGCAGCTCGCTAAACGCAACTCCAGCACAACGGATAAAGCGGAGTCCAACGAGCCATGGTAGAGTTTTTGAGAGCACGCATTCATCATTGACGTAGATGTAAACCTTGTCGTGCTTAATCCGAATCGAATATTTTGTGGGGTCCCCTGACCTCGGTCCGATTGGCAGAAGTTCTATGTCACCAGGATCGTCCAGCTTTTTCCAAAGACGCGCAAAAATCCAGTCTTGTTTCCCGTTTTGATCCCTACTCCACTGGAGGGCAACAACACGCGTACCGGGAAGAATATCTTCATGTGGGTCGACACTCACGAAGTAAGCAAACAAGAAATCTTCCACATCATGATTTTCTTGCTCTGGAATATGCACCTCTATGTCTTCAATAACTTCGTAATCTTCCGAGACTACCCTCGATGCCGTCCCGTCAGATCCAAAGTACCTAGCACTCTTTGTCTCCTGGAGCATTGACATTAGAGTTGTTCGATTGGCACTGAAGAAAACAAACTGTTCATCTCTGAAGGTCATCTGTTTGAAGCTCCACTGCTGAAACCCGTTGAGATCGGTGACAGGATTCCCATAACCGCTAACATAAAGAGACTGGTCTAAGAATTCTCGGAAGGGTGGGTAATCGGATGGGGCATCGTCCACGCATTCCGTCAGAACGAATGAGGAAAAGATGAACAGGATTACATATGTAAGAGGCATTTTGGTTAGTGATGGCCAGAGAGCTTAGAAGAATGCCAGAGCGTGGAGCAGCGGACATTGAGCTTGGATGCCCCAAGGTTTGTTGATGAGAACAATTCTTTTACGTTGGAGATGGTCAGTGGTACCATAAGGGTGGGCGTGGGCTTTAAATGAGAATTACAATCTGGCATAGTGCTTCTGACCTCGAAAATTTAGATGGAATGCTGCAGTGTCAATCACTATACATCGTTACTGAGGAGCCGGGCTTACCCTCGCGTGTCTGGAAGGCTTTGCTTTACTAGTAAAAATTTCCTTCAGCATATTCTCCCAACCAAGATGAACAAGATTTTGCTGCAAGATGTTGCTTAGAAAACAGTTGCGAGTATTCTAGACCTGATATGATACGCGTCTGTATAATACATAATCCTGAGTCCGCGCACCTACAAGAATCCTACGGTATCAAAGAATGCGGCAGAATCCTTGATGGACGTTGATTTCATCTCTATGCCACTGGGAGGCAACACCCCGCACGCCATGACTAGCAACAACACAACATATCTCAGTCGCCGAAAAACTTGGGAACTTTGACTGTATTCATAGAACGCACTTGTACACACATAAACGTCTAGCATCCCATGTGCAGCACCAGGACCCTTTCAACAGGAACGCCCCCAAAATTTAGTATTCGTTGCAAAGCAGCTTCCACAGGAAAAAAGCTCAAAACTCTGTAGTCGGCCTAGTGTCTAGGTGGCAAATGACCTCATATGAGGTCACTTTTCAACTTATTGTTCTCGACTTGTGCTAGCTCAACAAGATGGAAAAAAGATACTCTCGACACGGCAGTTGACTTCTACGTTGTGGAAGGGTGGAGTTTGGTGAGATCTGCACGTCTTCTCCAGCCATTTTTAAAATGCCCAAAAAGGAGCCTTTTTTGACCAACCTCAAAACGTTTTATGTTGATATCTTCGAAACCAAAACGCCTGTTTAAAAAGTCAACTCATCATTGATACTTCATTAGATTCTTAGTCTCTCTGTGCATTGACAACCGCCATCCCAATGTTTTGCAAGATGTTATTGCCGAGCGCGTATACGTTGAAGAAATGGTGTCCAAACTGAATGTTTTAAAGTTTCGATTTAATTTATATATTTTTGCAAAAAAAAGCTGGCCTCATATGAGGCCATGACTGACCTCATATGAGGTCAAATTGCTTGTCGTCTAGACACTAGAAAGACTGTGGTTCCGTGAACTCCGATACCCCCCGATCCCCGAGGGCGCGGGTGGCCGTCGGATACTTTATTGCGTCGCGACTACGGTATGCCCTATTGGCTATGTCTTATTTACTGTGGTGTGCTGTACTGTCGTCTGGATGTAACCACTGTTGTGTTGCACTGTGCGTCTCGCGCACTCCGTCCGAGCGTCGCTTTTGTTTTTCTGGATGTAACCACACTCCTCCTGACGTGAGTGGTGGGGGGCGCGAGTTGTTGTGGGGTAGGGGGGTGGTAGGCGTAGCTGTATGTGGGTTTGGTGCCGCTTGTACAGCATTGCCTTGAGGGGTTTTGTTAGGATGTCGGCGTACTGCTCCGTCGTGGGGATTCTGCGAATTGTGATTTCTCCCTTTTGTACGATGTCGTAGAGGTAGTGGTAGCGGACATCTATGCACTTGCGGCGGCGTGTGGCCCCCGTGCTATTCGCCGTTTGGACCGCGGCGGTATTGTCGATGTGCATGGTGGGGCGGGCGATTGTGATCCCCATTTCTGTGATCAATTTTTGCAGCCATGTTGTGAGTGTGGCAGCTTCGGCCGCTGCTATGTATTCTGCTTCGCAGGTGCTCTTCGCCACGACTGGCTGCTGCTTCGCTAGCCATTGTACGGGGGCACCGTTGACCATGGTTAGCATCCCTGTACTTGACTTCCTGGTGGTCTGGTCGTTCGCGTAGTCCGCGTCGGAGTACGCGTTGACTGTCACTCCTGTTTCCTTGTTTGATGGCATGAGTATGCCTTCGTTCTTCGTTGCTCTCAGGTATTGTGCAAGCCTCTGTACAGGTTTCCGGTGTCTGCGTGTTGGTTTCTTGAGTGCTCTTGCGAGAGCAGTGGTGGCGAATGCTATGTCGGGGGGGTGCTGTCCGCGATATATCGGATTTCTCCGACAGCTTTTTCGTATGTCGCCGCGATTTCTTCACATTTTTCTTCGCCTTCTGCTGGGGATCCATGTTGATGCCGTCCAGATAGGGGGTGCTCTTGGTGTTTCGCTCTTGCTGGGAAAGGAGGTCCACCACGTTGTCGATGTGCTCTGGCATGAACGGAGTTCGACTTGAAGCGTACGGCCACACGCCAGTGTGTCTGGATGAGAATCATTGCTAGCCTGGAACAAGACATCCTGCAACTCGCCGTTACCGCGAAAGGGTTGAAGCAATGCATATGCTTCGTTATACTCCTTTGAAGATGACGAGTCATCCCTCGTTGATCTAACGTTCATATTGAGGTCTCCACTAATGATGACCACGCCGACGGCATACTTGCGGCATAGCGGTATCGGGGAGGATACTATAGGGTGCCTCAGGGGAGCACTGGACGCTTGTGTAATGCTCCGGCCTGACGCAACGACAGGCAGCGTATCGTAAACTGTAGGTAATAATGGTAATTATTATTACGTCACGATAATGACATCCAATAGGCACAGGGCTTTTGGCGCATTTCCCTTTTCCCTTTTTTGAATCGGGGCGAAGGCTCTGGGTGAGCGTGCTGTGCACTCCGTGATAGCAGCACATCCGTACTCGCTCTTGGTCTTCCGTCTCCTCACGCTACCCGAAGGCTTTGGATGTGCGTGCTGTGCGCTCCGTGACTTTCCGATACTCGCACATCCGCTCTTGCTCCAGGTCTTCCGTCTTCTCACCCAACCCCATCTGCCCGATCTGCAACCCGTATAAAAGCGCTTTCGAGCCGTGGTACGTGACCACATTTGGGATGGTGGTGACGTTGACAAAGAAGCTCGACGACGACGAGGAGTACAATGTGCGCGCCCTCACCTGGCGCAACAATCAAGCCATCATCGAACATGAGGGCGGAAAACGATTCGCATCTGCAACCGATTTGTTGTTCAGCCTTGCGCTGCCTTGGGACGGAATGGATGGTTTGCTCAAGTGGCTGGTGGACATGGAGGGGATATGATTGGAGGCTGAGACAATACTGCGGATGGGATTTGACGATGATGGTGAGGGAGAATGTGAAAATACGGAGTATGCAATCGAACGGGTGGTGCTGGCTTCCGAGAGCAAACACGGCTGGCAAGAATCCCAATATTACGCATCGGCTGTTAAACATGGGGGTGCAGACACTTTCTGGGCAATACAGTTCTACACCATCGACAGTTTCCAACTTCCCTCACGAAACGCCGATGGACATAACAGCTCCTCACCCACTATCATATCAACTGGTTCTTCTTCATCACCGCGGTACCTCTTTGAGTCTTCGTCTCGCGCGAAACCACAGTGGCTGATGCAGGTGGACGAGTGGTGTTTCTGGAATCCAGATACCTTCTATTCCATGAGTGCGTCGGGAAATCGTGGACCATCAGCATTAGCACAGAAACTGTTGATTAGGAGCAGCCGCGTCTTCACTCGAAGTCGGAACGGGGAATGCATACGTGCTGCCATAGCAAATGGGTTGAATACTATGTGTGGGGTGGCCGTTGCGTAAGTTATGATACTGTGTGGACCCGTTGGCGCCTCGACCTTGAGTGAGGCTGGGGTATGGCTTCAAAGCAATATGCGGAGGTACACTATGGAGCCTGTTCACCTGCGCGGCGCTCCGTTCAGCTCCTGGATATTCACAACTTAAACTGCCAATGGAGTGTACCTTGCAGCTGTAGAAGGGGCTGACGAGCACAACGAGACGATGAACCATACCGTGGTTTTCGATACAGCGCGTAAGGAGGTCTTGGATTCTGCCGAACATTTAGCGCTGCGATTGGACCCGACTGTCTTCGCAGCATGCGTGGGTGATGGTTTCCGCTTCTCTCGGGTGACCCAGGCTCGAAAGCTTCAAGGGCAAACTATTGCTATGAAGCCAAACAAGAAATGTCGGAAGAAGCCTCGTTCTCTGAAGAGTGAGCATTCGCTGTACTCTTCAGCACAGTTTCGACATGGAAGGCATTGACAAAACTGGCAGTGAACAAAGGTTTCAGATACGAGGGTGACTCGTTCTGCTTTGTCAACAATATACTGCTGTCGATGAGACGCCTTTGCCGTCACGGAGTTCAGAGCTCGGTACATTTCGACGTTTTCGTTTGTCAACGCATCTGCTCAGTTATCCTACTTGTGGGTTTCCGATGGTATCAGGTGGGTGCAAATTCAGCCGATTGTCATATGGAAGTACATGCGATCGAGGCAGGTGCTGAATGGGCTCCCACGTGTCGCCTTCCGCATTGTATCCATACCACCGTACCTTAAGGAAGAGCTCACCATCCTCGGTGTGGCCATCGGCAATCACCTTATGCAAGACATGTTCCTTGCCCTCCCCACTTGGCTTTGGGCCGGTTGGTGTGGGTTGTGATGCTGGTGGGTCGAGGGCTACCTGTGCTTGTTGGGCAAGGCGTGTCCGCGATCGGGTCAAGCGCGATGTTGGCAAAGGAGTGTGCGATGTTCCTTCAACTCCCGGAGACACAATATTTCCTTTCACGTTGTTTCCGTCCTGCAAAATGCTTTGGGTCGACTCTTTATCAGTGGGTGACCCCAAAATGGCGGTTCCCGGGGCGTTTTCCGTACGTGATGAGTCGGTATCATGTTGTTCGTCCGTTGTCTGACTGTGACCGCTGTCCTTTTCGTCACGCTGTTGTGGAGTCGCGGAAACATCCTGCATGGTAGTGGATGGTGTAATATCTTCTCGCTCGCTAGCGGCGGATGTTTCCGATTCTTCAACTTGTGCTTCATGCGGACTTTGTGCGGTTGATACTGTTGGAGTATTGACATGCACTTCGGGACTTAAGGAATTCTCGGCGGAATATGGTGTTATGGAGGATACGGGCGGCGGTGCCCACACTGTAGTGCAATACGCACCTGAAAAGGGGGGTGAAAAGAAAGGAAAATATTTGGATATGAAAAGTAGTCCGGGTTGGGGGACACACATGTGAATAATTGCACGGTTTTAATTTTTTATTATTTTATTTTATTTAGTTAATTAGTTGGCATTAATTTTGCTGACACTAGATTAGATCTAGGATCTAGCGCCGCGAGCTACTGTAGTGGCTCCGGCGGGGCGATATATACCTTAGCCCTCTGACGACCAAGTCAGTAAAGGTAACCCGAGTTGCCAGAGTTGAATGTCGCCTTGGTCGAAGTCCGTCTTTCGCAAGACGCTGCCTTTTACCACAAATTACGTTATCTTTTGCGCTCGGGGGTTCCCTTTCCTTTTCCTTTATTTCACCTATCCTTTTCTATTTCTATCTCTATTTCTATTCCCTTATCTTGTATTGGTTCCACAGTGCCTGATTGCGATCCGCATTGTGACGACTGGAGTCATCGGGCTCTTGTGTTGGTTCTTTTGTTTGTGGTTGCTGCCATCGGCTTTGGTTGCGACCGGACCGGTGTACGTGTCTTGGCCATCGGGCGACACGTGGGTGTAGCGCTGCTACTTGTTTACGTCCACCGACGGAGGCTGTTGCAACGACGTTTCCCTCGAAGGTCCTGTTGTGTATACAGGACAGTGTTGGTTCCATCGGATACAGGTTGCGACCGTTCCGGTGTCGGTACTCTGCCATCGGGCAGTACGGAGGTGTAGCTCTGCTACGTGTTTGCTAATTCCCGTCGGGCTGCGTTGCGACGCCCCCGTCGAAGACCTTATCAAGGGTATAAGGTGCAACAGGCGCTCCGCGAGCATTGGCTTTACGACCCATCGGGCCCGGCTTCCCAATCACCGCCCCGAACTCGCCGAGCAGCTGCCTGTACAAGATTCTACCACCATTCGTCCCGGGGCGGGCCTCTTCCTTTTGCCCCCCCCCCTATCAGGGACTTGAGCTACTGTGGGCCGCAAACCCACTTAAAGGGAAAGGGAGAATCGGACACTCCGTAGGGCTGTGCCGTCGGCAACTCTTGTTGGTTGTTGTTTGTTGGTTGTGTTGTCGCTGGACCGTTGGACCCTGGTTCCGGTCTGACAGGCACATTGCACTACATAAGTGGTCTTCCGACCTAGAATCTGGAAACTACGAAGCCCGACCTAGAACCTGGAACTGAACAACGAAGTCGGAAATAGGTAAGTTAGTTCGATAGGTCTCGTTTATTAAGAGCGGACCATGGCATCAAGCCAACCCAAGGACGTCGGTCCTGGGGTCAGAAGGGCTGGATCAGCTCAAGAGTCGAGGATTCCGCGAGGACCTCGTACACGAAGCCAAGGAAATTCGGCTACTGATCCAGTCGCAGAAGCGTCCCCTTCGGGGACGGTCGTTGAGAAAAACGGCCTGGAAGAGAAGTTCGAAAAATTGAGCGAGGAGATTCGTCAGGAGACGAAGAACAAGCTCGACGAACTTCTGGGTATTTTTCCAAAGCAACAGGAGTTGCTAAAATCCGAGTTCCACGCTGTGCTTGAAGAGCTGACAGCCCGTGTGGTTCTCGTTGAGAATTTAGGCCCCGATGCGTCCCGGGGCCGAGATCCGGAAGTGCTGGATTCGCTAAAGCTCGCCGCGAAACAAGCGCGGCGAGACGCGAATCAGGCCCTGGAAACGCTGGCCAAGACAAGGGACAGCATCGACGACCGGTTCTACCGCGCTTCGCGGCGACTCAAGGACCTTGAGCAAGCTGCGGGCCGGGCCGAACCAAGTTTGGACGCGGGATCGCTCTCCGACGGAGAAGAAACCGACAGTCCAACGAAGAAGGACAAGTCAGTCCGAACCTGGGATTCCAAGTGGAGGAAACCCAAGTCGGCCAAGGGCCAAAAGAAGAAGAAAAGTCACTGCAGTGACGACCGCGAAAATTGCGACTCAAATTCGGAGTCGAATGTTTCAGAAGAAATTGGTGACGGCGGCTCGTCGAACCATTCCAGAAATTCCGACCGAAGATCGACAGACGGAAATGGAATTTCGTCGAATAAGAAGAGCTCCAAACGAGGCGGAGTCACTTCGTCCGCCTCGCGGAGAGACCAAGAAGCGGAACCAGAAGACATCGCGACGCGGCGCGGACCGCGATGGGAGGAGTTGGAGGAATTAAACCCGACCAATCACCTCTTCAAGAAGTTGCTTTCGTACAGGACGTACCGCCTGCGGAACCCGCGGACACGTTTTTCCGGCAAGCGCCGGACCGCCGTGCGAAAGATCAGAAGAGACATACCACCAAAGGTGAAGAGAGACAATACGTTCACAGGAGACGATGGCGTATTGGTTCTAGATTTTTAGCTAAGATAGTCCAAGAATTCGACACCCAGGAGATGAACGAAGGCCAAGCGATCCGCTTGCTACCGGAGTTCCTCAGCGGAATCGCCCTGAGACAGTACACTTTGGTGTCACAAACGGCGGGGTCCCACCATGGGAAAATATCCGTCTGGCCGGAGGCCGTACAGTGGCTATTGGGAAGCTTCGCCACCGATGAGGCAATCCGCCAAGCCGTACTCGCTTTACGGGAAGTACAGCAGCTACCGTCTGAAGACGAGATGGAATTTTATATCGGTCTGACGGACGCGACCAATCGATGTGGAAACGTATATTCGATGGAAGAACAAATGACGATGTTTATTGAAGGACTCGATTCGAGTATCAAGCCGATGGTATCTCCATACCGACAAGACAATCGGGACGTTTCGTTTTTGAGACTAGTTAATTACGCGAAGGCGCATGGCTCGGCGAGCCGCGCCAAGGAGAGGAAGACTAGGAGAGTCACAATGCAAGCGCCAGCGACGCTAAGGACGGGGGGAAGCAGAAGCCTGCGCACCCCACGCGAAAAACCCGCGGCGCTGTCCACTTGGCCGACTCAGTGTCTGCGTCCAGAGGACCTAGTACTGTTGATCAGGAAGAAAATGGATACGCAGGAGCACTGGTCGCCAAGGGCGATTTTTATGGCCCCTCCGCGGAATATGGAGACGAGGAGCACGGGGCTAGTGGGATGTCTACGCTACAGACGCCCACGTATACGACGGACTCGTATACAGAGGCCGCGGATCTCGTGTTAGCGTTTCGAGGGCGCGGACACACGCCAGCGCCAAGAATTCCTATGGAAGACAAGGGTACGGCCTTCAGAAGAACGGGCTGGACGGGCCGGCCGACGGCCCGAGGACCGCCAAGGTCGCCGTACCCTCCGAAGAAGCATGGCCTCGTATGCTATCATTGCTACGAGAAGGGGCACGGAGCGCCTACGTGTTTGCTCTCGTTCCGAGAGATGCACCGAGTTCTGAAGAACTACGAGATGCTCTCCCCGATGGAGAGGTTGGGAATTCCGTCGACAAGTTACCTGAAGGTAAAACAATGGTTCGAATCGCAGGCGGCGAGCACACCGAGTGCCTCTGCCGAAGGTTCGAACCGGACATCAGGGAGGCCGGCCGCGGGGCCGTCGTCGGATTGGAGAAGAATCCGCAGCGACGGGAAAACTAAGGGGGGGAATCTCAAAAAATTCGAAAGGAGAGATATGGGTCGGGCGAACCATGTCCGGGACCCAGTTCCCTTCCCCGCTTTTAGCGAAGGAGGCAGTCGACGACGAGGAGACAGTTGGAATCATCGATAACCCGAAAGGACCCATTGGGGTCAAGAAGATTCTGCGAAGAGGCAAGGACGATCCGCTGGAGCAAGTTCGACGCCCCTGGTACAGCGTCAAGCGCGGGGAATGTCCCGAGAAGATTTTGGTCCTTGCGAGGAAAAACTACAAAGTCTTCCCGGACATTGGACCGACGGTCGGATTGATGAGCCGTGTACTGTCCGTGTTGGACACCGGCGCGGGACCTAATCTCATCCGTAGATCCGAGCTTCCCGCAGGAATAGAGACTCTTGTGTCCTTCGGACCGACCCAAGACATCGGCGATGCGAATAACAGGCCACTCCGAACTCTAGGTACACTCAAAATGCCTGTGAGAGTTGGACGTTTCGTGGCTTCAGTCGAATTCATAGTTTGTGAAAAACTCGCAGTCCCCCTAATTCTAGGAGCGGACTATTGCGATAGGTTCGTGGAGGCTATCTACCCACGAAAGAGGACAGCTGAGTTGGCGGAGTTCTCGGAGGTTCCGATCGTACGGCGATTCTCGGCGAGAAAATCGAAGAAGCATTTGGTCCCAGGAGAGGGCGAGACTGATGCAAAAGGGGAGCGAGTTTCCCTCACGGTGAAGGTGGCAAGAGCCACGACCATTGAGCCAGGGGCGCAACACGTAGTCGAATGCACCTCGAAGAGGACTGGCTTGGTCGTCGTTCAACCCTACGCACCCGTATACGACAAGCACGGACTGGTAAGCACCAACGGTGTAGTTCAGGTTGAGCCTGACAACCTTTTAGATTGCTTGTAGCGAATTTTAGAAATTACCCTGTCAGGGTTCAAAAAGGCCAAGTGGTGGCGGAACTACTACCGCACCCGAGGGTCGTATTCAAGAGCAATTCCACCGTTGGTTAGGTACTTGGAATTCAAGAAAGAGACGAGGAAAAATTTACTAATTCCGCCCCGCCGCCTACGGGCGAGAGAAGATGCGAACCGTCGGAACAAGATCGCGAGGACCAGCAAGAAGAACGGGAGGAAGGGCTCTCCGCCACGGCAACTACGAAGCCGGAGCGGCGGATTGAGCCTCCCCCGCCGGACGTGGAGGAGCACGACATGAGCCACGTGCCGGACCGGCTGCGCGAAAGATTCCGTCGAATGTTGAAAAATATTCCCGCATGTGGGATGGGACCCTTGGTGAGATCAACACCACGGTCCACCGGATTGAACTGGCCCCGAATACAAGGCCAATTGCACAAGCTCCCTACCGAGCCTGTCCAAAGGCTCGGGAGGTCGAGGACGCAGAAGTACAGAAGATGTTAGAAGCAGGAGTCATCCAGCCGGCGCAGTCAGAATGGGCGTCGCCCGTTTTATTAGTGCCCAAGCCGGACGGATCGATGCGCTTTTGCGTAGACTACCGCAGGTAACGCGGCAACGGTGAAGGACACGTACCCTTTGCCGCGCATGGAT